TACACCGTAGGTTTAGGAGCACTTTAAAGAACACCATATGGAACAGAAATTGTGATTTATGTAAATGTTATGTGGGTTTGCTCATCACTCTGCAAAAGGCATTGTGGTAGATTTTGTGTCTGCCACACGTTTAAAAATGAAATTGCCAAACAAGAACAATGGAAGATCCCCTTTTGGTTCCCTGAAGAAGCTTTCAATGGATAAACCATTTTTGCCCCTGTTTTGTAGGTCCCTCATTCAAATTTTTTGTCCTACAGTAATGTTGATGGAATAAATTTCAGTAGAAATGTATATGATTTACAAAACCTAAAGCAGACTGTTTTACATCTTTGTAGCTGAGCAAGCAAGTCAGCATTTATAGAAGTGTTTTTATTGCATTTAAGTGCTATTTTTTATTATAGAAGTTGTACACGATTTTAAAATCCAGTGAAGCTGCCGCTGTGCTATTTTATCTCGGCATGGCTCTTTGTGAAGAGATGTGAACGGTTTTCAGAGCAAGGGGTTCTCCTTTTCCCCTTTCACCCTCATTGCTTGCTAGCAGCTCAACACAAGATCACAACGTTTAACACGCAGAGAGCCAACAGTGCCCCAGTTGATCTGCTAATGGAGAAACAAAGGGGAAATTTTCATTTCATTATTATTAATTGAAAATGTCCAAATAGATTTCCATTGTACTGGCAGAATGTCCACTAGGTGGTGTGCAGAAAGATATACATAATGCAAAGGTATTTTAAGAATGTACATCCAAGCCAAGAACCGTTTAGGAACTGTTATATTTAAGTATTGAGAACTAGAACCTTTACCTTATGAGATTTTCTGTATGTTAGCATCAGGCTAACGGTGGTGTACTTTCACTTTTCCACACTAACTTTAGGTTAAACACAGACACTTGTAAGACATCCCTCAATAAGAGTGCTCCACTACTAAGTAGTAAACTCCTAAAACATGCTTTACAGCGCACTGTATAGTGAAGAGGGTAGCTTTAGAAGTCAGGGTCACTGTCCTGCCACAGCAACAAACATGCATATCACATATCAACAGAAAAACGTTGAGAAGAGATTGGTTTTCCATATTTTTTTGTTGAACAGATGTCTGCTCTCTAAATAGATCCTCCTGACATTGATTTAGTTTGCATCTCTTGAGTTGCATTTTCCATTCGTCTTAGATTTATTGTGGAAATATTTTCTCAAAAGGCTGAAATAAACTGCACACAATAACACTGCACAATATGCATTCATCATTTTTAATTATCATGGTCTTGGTCTTGTCAATACTGATATCACAAAAGGCCAAAAAATGCAAATGAGCCCTAACTTAACTTGATTAATCATTGTGTTTTTAAAATACTACAAGGCATACTGCAATTACAATACGTAGCAATATACAGTCATATGCAAAAGACTGAACATCCCTAAGGGCGGCACGGCAAGAACGGCCTGGGTTCAATTCCCAGCCGGGCGATTTCCGTGTGGAGTTTGCCTGTTCTCCCTGTGACTGCGTGGGTTTCCTCCGGGTTCTCCGGTTTCCTCCCACAGTCCAAAAACATGCAGTCAGGCCAATTGGACATACTAAAATTGCCCCTAGGTGTGAGTGTGTGTGTGAAGGTGTATGTCTGCCCTGCGATGGACTGGCGACCTGTCCAGGGTGTATCCTGCCTTCCGCCCAATGACAGCTGGGATAGGCTCCAGCACCCCACCGCAACCCAGAAGGATAAGCGGTTTAGATGATGTATGTATGAACATCCCTAGTAAAATTATGGTTGGTGATTTAGTTAAAATAATAGAACACATCCTCTTCAGGGAACACATTTAAATATGCCATTTCTCTGCAAATTTTACGTAGTGAGTTTAACATATGGGGGAAAAAAAAACATAAAGAAAAAATGTGCCATAACTTTTTGCATATCATATGTTTTAATTATTTTCTGTATGTTAGCGTCAGGCTAACGGTGGTGTATTATTTATTTTGGCTATAAAATACTAACTAATTTCTAAAATGGAGAGCATTAATATCTTTGTCTGAAACTGATGAAACTTGACTAGGCTTGTTTGTGCACGCACAAGAAGTTTAGCAAAAACAGATGGAAATGATATCATTCTGTTATTCAAGGAGAAACGGAGAAACATTTCATTACCGAATGGCAGCTGATGTGAGGTTGTGAAGAGAGTGCCTTGAAGTTCTGATCCCTGCATTATAAATAGGAACTTGTTCTACAAGCAGCTCCTCTGCCTCCTCAGCTCTCTCATTGGCTGTTGTCTGAATCACTCATTTGGTTAAACTGCTGATCGTCTCAGTACAGGACTTTTTGAGTTGTAAAAAGCAAACATGTTTGAAGGTATATGCCCCCGATCAGTCCAGAGCATCATCGGAAGGCTAAAGGTTTGAGCTCCTGAACTGGAAAATCAATTCACATTGTGAAATTTTGTCAGAAGGAGCAAATTGGGGTTAAAGTAGGGGCAAGAAACATACGCTACATATTTCTGGCTGTACACACTCCACGTCAAGAAATGTAAATCAGGTTGTCTGATGTTGCTGAATTGTGCATTTAGTGGAACAAAACTTGCACACAAACACAAACTGAACACACAGCTTGATATTTATGGCAGCGGCAGGCCTCATTGATCCCAAATGTTACACAGGAAATGCCTTAAGCGCTTCCAGTTTATAAACAAACTCAACTGAATCACTACAGAGAGAGTGAGAGTACAATGTCAATGTGTAACCTCAAGAGTTCCATACAGTGTTTGCCTGTTGCTTTGGCTCTGTTTGTAAACAGCCTCTTCTTCCAAAAGAGCAATGCTTGAAACGCAGATGCACGATATCCACCTCAAAGCACTTCTCTGTACCACAAGCATGCCCCAGCGGAGTGGTACACAAACATTAAGTCCTCTTTCTACTCATTGGTTTTAGGAGTGCAAAATTGCATTCGCAAAGCATTGATGTGGAGATGGCAGTTCAGCTGTATCGATTTTGGAAGGTTAGAATTGATAATAATGTTTAATAAAGTAACATTTTTTTGTGCAAAATAAAATTCTCTGGAAAATGTAAAAATCCAAGACAATATTAAAAATGTCTATATTCCACTACTTTGTATTGGTGTATTTTGGTAAATAATTCTACATTAGGGGTTGAGGGAAAAATCGATTCTTAGATGCTTCATGATGCGGACATGGACGATTCTGAATTGATTCACAAATGTCAAAAATCGATTTTCAAAATTTTAATTGATAATGTAATGTTGACGGAACGCAGAAGGCGGGACTTTGCAAAGTGCGGAAGTGCAGCACCCGGACAGTCTGTGGCGGCACACTACTGAAAAAGAAACTACGTTTCTTGTAAAATGCCTCTCAATGTGCTACTTTTTATGAGGCTGAAATCAGTTACTTGTTCTCCAGCTTCTCGTTCGAATTTTCCCATTCCACCTTAAAAGGTGCCTGAGGCGCGAGAATGTAACTGCTGCACCATTTAAGGTGGAAACGGGACAATTCAAACAAGAAGCTGGAGAACGAGAAACTGATTTAGGCTTCACGTTTTTTAGTGTTTGACAGTTTCTCGTTGCAGATTAAATGCATCAGGAAACCAGCTGAGTGATTATAAATGCAAATTCGCAATAAATGCAAAGTCTATTCGTCTTCAAATTATTTATGCTTTTGTTAGCTACTAGCTAGGTGAACTAGCAGTTATAGGCTACATTAATTCCAGCGTTTAAGATAATTTATTGTTGAAACTGTGTCTGAACGATCAGCAGAGCTTTATTTTTATGTAGAAATCTAGCTCCTGAGCTAGCGTATGAAAGCACTTTGGCCTTACGAAGATATCTTACTGACACAGCGACCCACCCCCCCTTTTACTTTTGGAAGTAAAATCATTCATAGATCATTAAAAATACTAAAAGTACCAGGTCATCACAGAGTAAGAAAAAAAGAAATCCTGTATAGAAAAAAAAGATGTATCGAGATGCATCGATAATCATTTTATAATCGCATCACAGCCCTCTTAATCGTACTCGAATCCAATCGTGAGGTGCCTAGAGATTTCCACCCCTATTCTACATCGTACCAAAATTATCAAATTGAATGGTGAAATTTAAGATCAGTTGTAAGTATGGTTTGCGTGATATTTGGACAAAAATGTAATGTCACATTTTCACGATACACTACGTGTCATCTAGTTTTTAGAAAAGCATATTGTGACATAATTTACCATAATAACCATAAATATCATCATATTGCACACGTCTACTTTTAAGTAGCCTTTAGATAATTTTCACTAGTGCCCTTTTTAAATGCTCTGTTTATTAGCGGCAGGTGGTGTACCTTTATTTCTCACACCAGGCTTAGTGTAAACACGGGCATTAGAAGCTTGTAAGACACCCAAGTTTTCTATTTCTTCCTTGTATGTTGCAGTTTTACAGTTTACAAAATTACAGTGTACAGTTTCACAATTACAAAAGTTTTACAGTTCAGTACAGAGTGCTGAAATTTGAGATTTCATTAATCGTTTTCTAAAGAATTGAAATTGAATTAAATTGTTGTGAGGTCAGAGATTTTATACCCCCATTGGTTTAAAGTCACAATGCTATACATATGTGTAAACCAGACTATAATGGGTTAGCAAAATAGCAATCAGCTTTCAGCAAACGCCCTGTGTTGTGCTTGTGGTGAGGTGATGTGTATTTGGATGAAGTTATACAACATATGATCGGTTTAATGGTGAAAATGAATCTCACTGCAAATGTAAACACATGCCCTATTACTGTGTGTATGTGTACAACAGTTGGGTGTGACGATGGTGTAATGTAATATGTAGCTGTGGGCTGACAGTGCAAGTTTTGTGCTAGTGTTCTGTTCCATGCATTAACGATGGAAAATCATAATTCTCTCATGTGAAAGCTCTTTAATTATCATTCATGGATAGTTCAGTTTTTACGGGCCCTGGCAGTGGGGAAAATGGTTTATGTATATGTTTTTTTTCCTGTGTGTGTGTCTGTGTGTGTGTAGGTTGGTGGTTTGTCAGTACTGTAGAAGAACAGGGCTGGGTTCCTGCCACATATCTGGACGCTCAAACCGGCACCAGAGATGATCTGGATCTGGGCACATCTAGATCAGGAGAGGGTAAGACCAACACAAACACAAATACACCCTCTCTCATGTATTTACAGTCATTCACTCAATTTTCATTACCTATTACCTTGACTTAAAGGAATAGTTTGGCAAAAAGAACCATATTTACACAATTTTCACCTTACCTCAATTGTAGTCAGCCAAGAGATGTTTGGGGTCTGAGGTTTTGCATTAGTTTTACACTGCAGCTACAAATAATGCAAGCTTATTTACATTGATTAGCTTTGTGTAAACTGGAAGTCTGAATCATCACACAACTTATAATATGTTGAGTTAAAGCAGAATTCCATCAATATTTCATAATTGTTGCATAATTACAGTGTTAACATGTAAACAAAGTACTACAGAGCAGTTTGGTGTGAAATGCTCCACTACAGACAAACCGTCAGAATTGTTTACATTCTTCTCATTTATATTATGTGTAAATTTCATGAGGAATGGACCAAAAGAAACGGCCCAAAAGTACTTGGAAAAAGTCTGGTTCCGTCGACTTACATTAAAAGTAAAGTATGTTTTTTCCTTCCCCTGTAAAGTTACCATTTTGGAGATTTTGAGAGAGTTTTCTTCCGACAACAGCGTTATGTTTTTTCTAATACCGTATATAGCTATAAAAATGGACAAAATATCAGTTAGTTATACAGTGTCAGAAACCGCACAAGCCAGTCTATTTTAAATTAAGATGTAAGAATACACTTTGCACAATGGTAATTGGTATACATTAGCTACATTATTAGCCACATTACTCGTTAGCTACATTAGTCTCATAGCTCTGAAGCTGAAGACACCAGCGTCTGACATCAATGTGAATATTATTTTTTGCCGAACTATTAATGGTGCAGACAAAAGCACATTTCAAATTTTAACATACAATAATAAACTAGTGAAACATATGTATATACACAAATATACAACTGTCAAATAGTCACTCAGGCACTGCAGCCAGCATTTTGTCCAGAGAGTTCACCTCTCTCCATCTTTGTCCTTTTCCTGTGTTGCCAAACTCAGACAAAAAGCAGCCCACTTCGCACTCATCAACTCCAACCTTCGCAGAATGCCAGACACATAACAGAGCTGCTATGAGTCCACCCTTGGCATTCAGCAAGCCCTGAGGGAGTCTCTCACTCTCACTCACACACACACACACACACACACACACACACACACACACTCATCCCTTATCCTTACACACTCATGACAGCGATAGAAGTGAATTCTTGGCCAACACATAAATTCCATCTCTTCAAGAGTGGAGAAATTCTTTTCAGTTGTACTACACACATACACACGCACACAAAATGGCCTGGGCCGTCCTTCAGCCAACTGTCCAGTCACTCCCTCTCTGGAGCCAGGATTTCATTGTGGTAACAAGTTTTTTTTGAGCAGCCCCTTGCCCAATTTTAGTGCATTATGGCTCAGAATAAGTTGAGTTGAAGGTGGTGGAAAAAGAGGCTAATGTGATCTCTGCTGTATGATGGAGCACCACTAGCTAGCTAATGCTAATCTTTATTAGGGACTGGAGGCAAAATGGGGGCACATGCACATATGCAAGACTTTTTTTTTCGTGTAATGGCTTGTGCAGCTGTGCCCTGGCATGTGGAAAGGCGAAAAAATGCACACACACTCTCTTACAAGACACACACACTCACCAAGGGCATAGCTATGGCAGAGACAGAAAGGGGGGCTAACCCCGCTCATTGAGAAGCCAACCAGTTTTCTGAGTGCTCAAATGAACAAAGTCCTCAAATGGCAATAAAAATGTAACAAAATGTAATTCACTTTGTGCTTTTATAAGACAGGATGAACACAACGGCGCTGAGTTCTTGCACCCCTTATGCATTTCTTCCACCTTAATTAGATGAAAGAAGCCACAAAAGCTCTTTAGGTCATCCCCAGTTTTCAGTGGCATCTATCATCGTAGCAACATTTACATGGCTGGATGTTGCAATCATTGCTCTACAAGGCACAGAACAATGCTTCTTTCAACACCAAAACGCAAACACAGCCTTACCCTGCTTGGCTGTTTCTGCAGGTTGTGGGAACTGAGCTGAGTTGAGCTTGTTCCTAAGGTAGACTGGTGCTTAATAGATCATAGTAAAGAAAACAGTTTACTAATTCAATTGAATAATGTGGAAAAAGTGACAGTAAAATCACAGCCTTGAAATATTCACCTCTGGTATCTACATCTCGTGTTGTAAACGGTAAGGTCATTTAGACCCACTGTGGTATTCTGTCAGCTGAAAGTTAACTGTCTGGTTATGGTAGGTTCACTGCAGTAGGCTAGTTGGTGGTGGTCATCCTTGCTATAATATAATGCTTCCTAGATGGCCCCATCAGCCTATAAGCAGCTGCCTGTTTCTATACTGGTTTTAACATGCCCTAAAATAATAAATAAAAAGTAAGACTTTAAAAATTAAGTGTTGCATTGCTAGCCAGGCTAACCTGCTGGGGGCAAGCGCCTTCTGTTTGAATAATTTGCTCCTTACTGTCCTCTCCTCCTCTTCTGCCTTGAGTGGCCATGTGTGTAATGTAGCTATGATGCAGATCCGAGTGGTGAGTCAAAGTGGGCGAGGGCATGTTACAAAAACTACTGAAACAGGACCCAGGCTGCCCCCTAAAATGAAATTCTGGCTATGCCACTGGGACACGCAGCTGCCATGACTGCTGTGTCTCTTTCAGCAGCCAGTCATAGAAGCAGACAGACTGAACTTTACTGCAACACACAAAGTGTTATCTGACCCTGAGGAGTCTTTCAACACACACACACAGTATTTCGTTCAAGCATTTTCCATTTTCCTACTTTGACGTTTGCACTCACTAAACAGTTGCAACTGAAGGACACTAGGGCAGTAACACTCATTGCAACACACACACACACACGCACACACACACCATTAGGCCTCAGTTGACCATAGGGTTTGTATGTGTAGGTGTATTTGCTGCCAAGAAATGTCTGTTCTACCCATTAAACTACATTTTACCTACTGCCTTCCAACTTCACTTACTAGAGAGATGGAGAACAAGTTACAGCATCACTTATGAGTGGTGATGTCGGAGAATTTCACTTTGTCTTTCTCTATCAGATCATTACATCTCATTCCTGAAGCTTATTATTCAATTACAGTACTATAAAAATAGTCAGAGACCACCCTTTTCATTTATTTAATTTCTAGTCAAAACAATCATCAAGTAGAAGTTCCTAATTTTGTGAGAGAGATTTCTCAGGAGATTAAATACAAGATAATCTATTTGCATACAGAAGAGGAAAGTCCAAAGAAAATAGACTTTCCAAAACTGGAGTCCTTAACGGTTCATAACAACCATGCAAGACCTAGTAGACCGCCTACACTGTCATCATCAAAATAAACAGCACTTCAAGCTTTCATCTTTGAGAGAGAGAAGAAAATTAAGCTCCACTCTTACTGCAGATCTGAAAAAATTCACAGGTGTTTCTGTCCATCCCTCCACTGTGAGAAGACAAGTCTACACTATGGGTCTGAAAGGATGTGTAGCTGTTAAGAAGCCTTTAGGCAAAACTGAATTTAGAAGGTGTGGTAAAATATGCCTGCAGATTTTTTTGGATAACTGAAAGCAAATCTCCTGAAAAGAATGGATACTGAAATGGATACTGACACAGTAAATACTGTATTATATGAAGTAATTTGTTTTAAATGTTTTCTGCTTATTTTTCCTGAAAAAAAAAATTTCTTCATTAGTCATTTTGACTGGAAATTAAATACATAAAAGGCGGTCTCTGACTTTTACACAATAATGTATATTACTGCTTTCTACTGCAAGGAGATAAAGTAATTAAAGTAAGTAATAGTAAAAGTAATTGAGACAGTAAGTTAGTAGCTCCATTTATTGTAGCAAAGCTAGAGTCTGATAGGATATAGAAACTATGTGCTTGCATTAAAGGAGGCATCTTTCAGTAGTGTTTGGATTCTAAATGTCTAGATTCAGAACTAGGGTGTTGCAACAAACTGCTGTATTTGTTGGATGGCATTTCAATCCCCAAACCTCAACCATCAATTGTGGAAAGAAGATTTAGCGCATCAAGTCAGAACTACAACTTCCATGAACCACTGCTCTTTTGCAGTACTTCAAATGTAGGGCCTTAATTTAAAGATGTATGCTGTCCATATGTTAGCGGTATTTTTTGACACATGCTTGAAAACTACATTCAGTTCATTTCCACACATAACATAAATATACACTCAAAATGTAGGAATTTTATGCTCTACAAGTTCTCATTAGACTGAACAGAATTTTTGCCAGTGTTCTGTAAAGCATCTCAACCTCAGTACAGTAGCTAAGAAAGCGCTTCTGTGGGTGGAGAATGGAAAGTTCAACTGTCACTGTGTGAGAAATGCGCTTCAAAGTCGATTCCTTTGAACTGAACTCTACCACCGAAAGGTAGACGTTCAACACTGTATTGTACCACACTACAGTGAGTTTCTATAAATGTCATAACAAACATGTAACTACCTTAACCTCTCATCACTCCTTACGCCATAAGAGCTTTAGCCACCAGACGCTAACTGACAGAAACACCCATCTTTAACACGCCGCCCATCGCTCCTCTTTTTCCTTTGTGTAATAATGTCATGTTACTAATGCCAGTTTTCTTCTTCAGTTGTTCATGTTGAGTTTGTCGTTTGTCGTTTGTCTTCCTTTTCTGTTCTCTCTCTGCTTCCCCTGCCTTTTCCTTCTCCATTCATCCGTGTCAGTTACTAAGCGGCGCAAGGCCCACCTGAAGAGACTGGACCGGAGGTGGACACTAGGGGGCATAGTCAACCGCCAACAGAGTCGAGGTGAACAATCTCACACGCACACATGCATGGATGCATGGGATGCAGGTATGCTCATGCGTGCAAGGTTGAGCGCTTGCTGTGCAAGTCTGTGTGCTTGGAACTTTGGAACTGTTTAGCTAAACTAACTCTATCAACAGACTTTAATTTAAAGCAGTACTTTAGGAGATGTACACATGGTTTTAGACACTTTTCCCAGATGTTTGGTGTCTAAAGTTTGCTTCTTTAGTTTTGTACTGGAGCTGCAAGGCTAATGTAAAAGCTAAAGTGATGGAAGCTTATGTAGACCAAATAGCATTGTGCACACTGCATCCCTAGAACATCACAAACTTGCCTTAAACCACATCAATAATCTCAAAGACTTGCTTATGTAGTTTTTGACACTGTAAGTGGGGGGAATGGAGATTTCTTGGGTGTCAACAATGTGGGAGCAAAATAGTTCAAATTATGAGGTTCTCAGCCCTGATATCATGAAAATGCGATTAAAATCTAGTAGTTTTTCTATCCAAAACATTTAATTAATTTACTGCTTTATTTTTTTTCTTTATTAATTTGCTGTTTGGAATATTCTTTGTCAGTTTGGCAGCAAATTTATATCAAACTGTTGAATTGGCGGAATAGATTAGCAGCATTTATGTACAAACACTATTAGCGAGTTAGTAGGTGCAAATGGCTTTGAGTGCATGTAGCACAGTCAGACAGAACAGTCAAATTGTATCTGGCTGTGCAGACTCAGCTAGAAACCTGTGTGACGCAATGCTTTGGAATTACTCCAACAGGATAAATAAAGGCGAATAATCTAGCCCTTGGGGACCCCTTAGACAGTCCAGATTTCTGTTCCAGCCTAATTTGCAACACATAAGGAAAGAGCAAAAATATGGACTGTCTCAGAGTCCCCAATGTCCGGTTTGAGAACGTTTGATCTAGTCTACTTAAAGGTCAAGGCACCATGGATTAGCAAGTAAAAACATCATGAAACAGCAAGAAGGATTCAGTATTGAATGTTTGGGATGTTGAAGGATGTTCAGGAAAATCAGAAGAATGATAGAAGAAGGATATGCAGCTTAAACATGCAGAGGATTGGGGGGGTTGATAAAAGGGTTATCACATCAAATAAATTGATAAATGTTTAAATGGATTTCATGAAAAAAATCTATACATCTATAAAAATGGACAAAGATGTTAATTTCGGCGTTATATGCTTGTTACTACTCATTTATCTACTCAGTTAGTCTCACTGCTCCACTGTAAAACTAAAGAAGAAAGGTTTGGACACCAAACATGTCTTGACTTATCAACAACATTTGGAACAAGGGGAAATTATTTAAATTTGACTTTTTGCCTTATTTATTCTGTAGAACCTGTTGGAGCTAATTCAACACAGAAGATGCACAAACACAAACATTTTCCACCACCTTTTTCATCAACCTCTCTTCACTCTTACTCATACACATACATACACAAACAAGCTCTCACATACACACACTCACACTCATACATACACACTCTCCTGGATGGTAAACACTCCTAATCTAAACCGTCCCCCACTAGCCAACAACAACTCTGACCCATGCACCCAAAGCATGCTGGGTGGCCCGTTCTCATAGTGAAACCTTTATTAAACGCTCCACACTTCACTAACAGAATGATTACCAGTCATAAAAGGGTATAGACAAATAGGCATTTGTATTTCAGTGTGAAATGTATTAGTGTGTAAATCTTGAAGCCATTTAAATTTGTTTAGGGTAGAAGAATGAGTAATGAGCCTATTAATATTACATGGTCTGGAGACTAACAGTCTGAGACATAAAGTGTCTGAGGCGTGAAATGAAAGAATAAAAGGGACATGTTGTTTTGCACTATTTCCAGTCATACTGAATTAGCTTTGGTATTACAGAAGTTTGATTAAAATGGAAGCTTGGTTTGCCTTTGTTTGACACAGAACAAATACAGTGACACTTTCAGAGCTAAACATTTTCTAGGAGGGAAGTGCTGAAGCTGAAGTTTCCCACCATTAGTTCATAAAGGAGATTACTATTTGCAGAAATGATTTTTCTCTTTCCTTCCTTTTCCTTCTCTCTTCCTTTACTCTCTGTTTAGTTTTTTTCTTAATGGATAGCTGGCAGTAGCTGGGGTATGAAGACTCAGACTGCATCCTCTCAAATGATGCCATTCTATGTTCTGTCATTTAGTTGTGCTAGTAAATGAACTATCTATGCACTGCCCAAAAGGTGTTTTTTTATAGTCACTATTGCTAAGTAGACAAGTTTACAGAACATTGGCAACAGTCTCATTTAACATAATGAGAAACAATCCAAGCAGTTTTTGTCAAAATACACAAATTTAGAGTGTGTTATTTCAAATGATGTTTATGTGTTCAGTCACACTGTAAAATCAAGTGTGATTTCTTTTTAAATTGTGTAATCAAGCTAACGTTTGCTTGCTAGTATGTTCATTGGAATTTCCAAGGACTGTTTGCTTCCAGAAATTTGGGAGTCTACTTGAATTACAATTCCAAATTAACTTAGCAGACTGTCGGGGGACTGATTAAACTATACCTGGTTTTCCTGTCAACCCCTGCAGGTAGGTGGATGTTTCCACACCAGGAAGTTGATTGTAAGCCACTTTTTCGTTGCGAACTGTACATTGATGTCGTTTTGCAACAACAACAATGTAGTCTCGGTAACATAGCATTTCAAACCGGAAACAGAATGATATTCTAAATCAAAAGTATTCAGTTCTGATCCCATAACTGAGCTGGTGTCCAGCATAGTTAAGTACTTTCCCTTGTCAAACACACCCAGTGAAGCTTAATCACCAGGTTTCTTAGGTGTATTTGAGCTGGGAAATCAAAATGTGCAGGATGTTGACCCTTCAGGACTGGAATCGAATATCCCTGATCTAAACTCTAACCTAAATCCATTAGGTTCAGTGGGATTGTTGCCAATGCTCTGTAAAGTTTGTCCAGTCTTGCAGCAGGTGCTATGAAAGAATGAATTTGCGGGTGTAACATGGATAGATCAGTTGAATAAATGCAACTGCTCTGCCAGTTCTTTGCTGCCAGTTTTGCCAGCTAGCATATTTTCATAGGTGTTAGTTCTTTTCCTGGAGACTGTAAATTCAACTGCCGGCTTTGGACTGATGCCGCATGGCAATGTTTGGCTAGTAGCTAATGCCAAAAACTCTATATCTTCTGAGGACTTTTTTTTCTGAGATTTTTTTTTTCTTCAAATGGAAACAGCTTATACTTAATATGGGCTCCATCTAACACCATATCCAGATGTGGATGTTGAACGGGAGCTTTGGGGTGACGTTGGGTGGAAGATGAATTGATTCATAGAGGAGTCTGAACTTTAAAAAGCCTTTGAAGACTGAATAGCCAGACGGCCACAAACTTGGTTTCAGACTAGTTTCAGTTGGGACCTACAGGGAGATCTTGTCTGGTTTGGACATAACCTGGAACGGTTGCCATAGCAACCTGCTGTCCTTTGCTGAGTCATATAAACTTGGCGTACACAGGATTAGCCACACTGACTGCTTTGGAAGGGTGTTAGCATGGTAACAGCTGACGCGCGCATGTTTGTAGTTTGTATGTGGAGGGAGGTGAATTGTGGGAAGACGTGCTGTTGGTGTTTGCATATGTGTTTGCCAACAATGACCGACTGCCCTAGTTTATAGCTTATCTTTCAGCTATGTGTTAGCAGGGTAACAGCTAGGCTAACACGTAAATTTGCTGTGCTTTTTTGCTAAGTTTGGATGTGGAGACAGGTGACTTATGCTGTTTGTTTGTTTGTCTGTCTGTGTGTTTGCCTGTGCTGCCTTGCTCTAATGGATGTGTGCAGTGTATAAGTTTTATTTGGACAGTTTTGAATGTGAGTTCAAGTTTTATGTCTCTCTCTCTTGCTTTCATTCTCACACCATTGGAAAGTCACAGTGGAAAGTGTGAAACTAGGGCAACAGCCCATTTGGAAGGAGTGTGTGTGTGTGTGTGTGTGTGTGTGTGTGTGTGTGTGCGTGCTTTGCCGTTCTTAATCATATTCTCTTGAATTGTATACTTAAGTGAGTCAAGCACAAAATCACTGCTGTTACTGATATTGTTGGCAGGGTAAGGCCTCATAAAACGCTTCCACCATTAATAAAATAACTGTAACTATCCTACAAAATAAAAAACAGCACTATTGACGATAATTTGAAGGTGTTAGTGCCACAGAATTTGTAATGTCTCTCAATAATGTCTTCTGGGTTTGACAAACATTAGAGGGCCCCTCATGAATGGATTCCTAAGGAGCTTGGATTCAAAACTGTAGCTAGTTAATGCTTAAAGCCACAGTATGTAAGATTTGGGGGTTTGGAGACCTCTCTAGTGGAAATGTGTACTGTAAATGCATGCAACGTGAGGAGGAACATTTTGTTATGGCAGCTTTGGACCCCTGCTTTAAGCTAATGAATCTAACATTTGTGAGCGTGTTTAAAGAGTATTCAAAGAGAACTCAGTCAAAACTTGGTGAGAGATGTGACTTCTGGATGTACAGTTAAAGTCATAATTTTACATACAGTTAGGTTGAAGTCATTAAAACTCATATTTCTCCCCTCCACAGATTCCATGTCAAGAAATTATAGTTTTAGCAAACTGTTTAGGATACCTACTTTGTACATGACACAAGCAATTTTTCCAAGAAATGTTTACAGATTATTTCACTTATAATTTACTTTATTAAAATTCCAGTGGGTCAGAAGTTTACAAACACTGTGACTGTGTCTTTAAATAGCTTGGAAAATTCCAGAAAGCAGCATATGGCTTTAGAAGCTGATAGGCTAATTGACATCATTTGAACTAACTGGAGATGGAGTTAATTGGAGGTGGACCTGTGGCAGTATTTTAAGGCCTGCCTTCAAGGCTTGCTTGCATCTTTGCTTAACATCATGGGAAATTGAAAAGAAATCAGCCAAGACAGCAGAAAAAGAATCGTGGACCTCCACAAGTCTGGTACATCCTTGGGAGCAATTTTGAAATGCCTGAAATGCCTGTTCATCTGTTCAAATGATACAATTTCCAAGTTTATGTATGTTTATGACGTCAGTATGACGAAAAGCTTTATTTAGCCACTGAACTGAGCAGCTCGCCAACCAAACAGCTAGCATCATAATGGCCAAAACCTTCCTGCTGCTGAAAAACATAAAGATACAGGTATATGTTTTATTTTCAATGGAATACATCATTTGACTTTCCAAAACTGAAAAAAGTTCGAGCATAAATGGCGAGAAACGTTTACTTTATATCCTTTCCTTTCAGAGTTAATCCTTTCATTGAGATCTCGCTCACAGTCATTTTGCAGTCATGTTTTTTTGTGACCAGGCTTCCCACAAAGTGCCTCTTGTTATCGTGATATTGAAAACTGATATATGATTTTGCTGTTGTTGCAAAGTGTAGGTTAATGATAAAGACTTTAAATCGGCTGATGGCAGTTTCAGAATCTTAGCTTGAAATGCATTTGGTCACTGAAAGTTATCATCAGCTTTTTGGCAAATGTTTGTTTTTTACTTTTTTTGTTTGCTAATTTGTAAAGTGATTGTTAGCATCCTTTTGCTAGGGCACAATCTTTCTCTCTCTCTTTCCAGCCTCAGTTTAACAGTAGCAGTTTTGGTTCATGGAGGGCAGGCAGGGAGAGAAAGCCTCAGGACTATGCTTCTGCCTTTTTTCCTGCTGGCAATTACACCACAAGTGCATGCAAAGCTAATGCGTTCTGGAGCGGCTAGGCTTTTTCCGCCAACTGGAATAGTCCCTCCATCAAAATAAAACTGACGGTTGGAAAAATGAGTTTTTGAAGCATTTGTGCTCCCCTTCATTTTTAATACACTTTCTTTGAGCTATGTTGTGGTGAGTAATGGGGGAAGAGCCTGGATGCCAGGCTTGGAGTGTTGTGCGTCTTGTTAAATCTGTCCTTCACTGTTAAGACTGTGCAGTGCTATGGACACAACTGTACTATTAGTATAGCCATTCACAGTCTTTCATCGAATCTTGCTATTTATACAGATGTGAAAGTTGTTCTTTTGTAGTTTATTTTTTGTATTGGTAGTTCAGTTTTTGCATACTTTCCCAGACCTTCATCATTGGATTGCTCACAAATTAGAGTAGTAATACTGACCCAAAACCATTGACTTCTGTATGTATAACAATCCTTTGCATATGAAGTCCAGAAACTGATTCCAGATCAGCACACAAGACAACCACTACAGGTCTAGTTTTATGAATGTATGGTTCAATCAGGTAACATGTGTCTAACATGGAGTGTGGAGGTGTTATTTTATTGGCGGATTCACTTACATTGGTTAAGATTAGAGAAAATGGGCCCTATATCTATCGAACCATCTCCCCATGTAAATATATAATTTTTTCATTTGGCCTTTTTATCTTCTTTACCTTATTTTTGTTCCTTCACCTGCATTCGTTAAATATAGAATAGATGCATCCCATATCTATAGAATTATCTCCCCATGTAAATATAACTCTTTTTCTACCTTTCCCTTCATCCTTTCTTTCTTTTTTTGTTTCCTTCCTGCCTTGGTGACTGTTTTTCCCTGAATGTGGACTTTATCATGGTTTTGGATGGTTTTATGATGAAGCCTGTCACAGTAATTACATGATCACCTTGTTGCAATTATTTGAGCTGACTGCAATTATTTTTCCACCGGCTTTCATATGTTTATACCACAAAAAAGGCAAACTGTGTTCTTTTTTATCAGCTCAGTAGTAAAAATAAGGAAAAACGAGAAAGCATTTATCGAGATGTATCACGGGTCTTACAAAAACAACCAAAGTTCTAACTTCTGGCAGTCGCTGAAACAACTTTAGATGGCAACTCACTGCTGCCATCTGAAGTTGTTTGTAATGTTTGTTTTTTGAGCTGGATCTGTCTCTGTCATTAGTTGGAGGCTACTAATTATTGACAGCTAAGAAGCAAGAAAGCTAATCAACCATTTCTACTTTAGCAGTAGTACATAATACACAAAAACAAGACAACTGTTAAGTGCAGTTATTTATATGGCAGTTTATTATCTGCTAAAAATTCTGTGACAGTCCTGTTTGCGGTATTTGTGGCTGATTGCTGTGGTGTAGAATAATGAAATCTGAGAGCAACCAGAGTGAACTATAGAGAGATAATAAGTAAACTGGTGTTGCATATACCGTTCACTATGTAAACAGGCACTGTGGAATTAATGACCGACTAATGTAATGCCTACCTAACTAAAACATGAGGACTTTTCAATGGAAATTATTTTAACATCTTACAGACAAAGCATAGTCTTATCTGTACTTGTAAGCTGATTCCAAGCCATTCTTAGTGTTTTGTTCATCCAGTGGTTGGATTCGTTGTTGGAGCAGTAATAGATGCCTTCAAATCAATCAGTGTGTCTTCTTGTGGTCAGATAACTCATGCATACCCTTCAGAAGGCAAGCCACGTTCTCCCCAGAGTTCATTTTGTCAATTTAATACTGCCTGTTACAAAAAACCGATTGTGTGACAGTGTTTGTTATTGTGAATGTGGGTCGAGGATTTGCTGTGGAAGTAATTGTTGTAAATTGTGTGGTTTCTCTTGAGCTCAGATCACCATTGCCAAAGATGGTCACAGACAGTAGACTTGCATAGATAGTCACTGAGAGTAAGTTGTGACAGCAACTTGTCAGCAGGCCACATGACACAGTCTCAAAGTACTGGAAGAAAGAAACATTAATATAAAATCTTAGTTGACTGACACTGACACTAAAGGATATTAACTGTTTAAAGGTGAACATATTCAGTAGAAATAACAGGAAGTATACAGTTAATGACAATAATTATAGTAATGATGTCTATAACATTAAAATTAAGCAAAAAAGGAGGGCCTGTAAGGATCATTTGTTGTTTGTTAGTCACTGCCCTTCAGGCATCGGCAAGTTACCATATACTTCGCAGAAAAAGATGCTGTGTGCCAATCACTAAAAATAATTAGTCATTTTTCAAATTGTGTTAGTATTAGGGATGTGACGATTATAATTTATTATGGCCAATTCCTATTTCTTTTTGGCTGATTAGTATGTTTTTTAATCCAAAGCTCACACTATGTGGGCTAAATGAAAATATGAAACACACTAGCACACTTTCTATCAGCCAAAATCACAGCATTTGCTCTTTAATGGGCCAAACTGACATTTTTAATTAGTTTCTTATGTAAAAAATATGAATCAAATAAAGGGCTATGTGGAAAATTATAGGCGACAGTGCAATGAGTCATGCATGATTATGCTATGACATTTTGGCGTAGGTGTTTCAGGAACATTTAAATACAGTGTGAGTGCACTTACTGGCCTCACACTATTTATGTCATAAACACAGACTGGCCTTAATGAAACTAATACATTTGGTCAACTATTAGTAGCAAAACTACAAGTGCATCTGTAACTAGTAATTCAAACTTCGCAATGTTTTTCAGTGTGTTTGTGAAATTTTCTTGAATTTTTCACACTTTTCACAGTTCTGCCTCTCACACTCATTCTACTTCTCTCTTTCTATCTCTCTCAATGTCTCAGAGGAGAAATATGTCACTTTGCAGCCCTACACCAGTCAGGGAAAGGACGAGATTGGGTTTGAAAAAGGAGTAACCGTGGAGGTCATTCAGAAGAACCTGGAAGGATGGTGGTATATCAGGTAAATACATTTTCTATTTCTATTATTCCCTGAGTAATGTTCCACGTTTTGTTCACTGGAAAGGAGGTGATACATCAGAGAAATGCATCTTTAGGGAGCTCTTTATGACAAAAAACGCGCAGACCAAGTAACAAACAAATATAGTTTTAACATATTAAGAAGTTGAGTAACGGGGGACTCTTTTAAGATGAGTAATGGGAAAAGGTCTTTCTTTACAGCTTAGCTGAAATATATAGAGGTGCTCCATGCAGGCTTTTATTAACTGCTTTCTCATGCTTACAAGAGCATGAGTTCTAGCAGCAGCTCTATAGCTCTCTTGTTAAAAGAAGAATTATGTTTTATGAGAGAAAAGCCTTCTGACATGCGCTCTCTCTCTCTCTCGGTTCTGTCTCTCTGTCCCTCCTCCTTGTTTATCGTTTTTCTTTCCCCGGAGGGTGTGTGGGTAAAGTTGTTCTCTGGGTTGAAAGAGAGAATGAGAATCACGTGGTGTTCCGCTCCCTTAACAACTGAACTGGGGCTGCTCTTGTTTACACAAACATAATGCTTAAGGGACAGCCTCTCTAAATAAAGTGATATGATGATAATAAATTTCTTCATACAGAGGAAATACCACCTTTGGCCCAGGCAGGTGTTGCTGGAATGTCTTTAGTTGATCTTAGACCAGTTTTGCCATTTGAATTATGATTTTTAGCGTTGGGATTTGAGTAAGGGGAGCTTGTTCTACGTCGGGCCACTACTTGAAGTAATAGGGTTTTTCCTTGTTGTGAGTAGATGCTGACCTCTAGTGGCCAGAGCAAGCAGTGTGACTGGCATGATTTGGAGGAATTTTGTTGCGGGCGTAGCTTTCTTGCTAGTTGCTAAGTCAATTTTGTTTTTGTTGCTGTTGCAGCATGATGAATCCTGGAATTAATGATTTAGGTGTGTTCTAGGCCATGTTCTGTGATGAAACGCAATAGGGGTCAATATTGTGTGATTATGGCTTAGTCATGCTGTTGATGTTGTGTTAGTCAGTCTTTATGGAATGCTTGTAACAACACTCTCCTTTTTCAGGCTAGCCGCTAAAAGAAAATGCTTTTGGTCATTCTGCATTTTATTTCTATGCATCACTTCATTGGAATATGTTTTTTGTTGATTTAAAAGATCTGATAACAGTTGATTCTTTCTAAAAAAAAAAAAAAGTTAAAAGTACCAGCATAGTGTTTGTCCTGTATGCCTCAATACAATTATATAAAAAGGGAATAAAAAATGGAACACAGAATGGAATAGAATGGAATAGAATCCTTTCCTTGCAAAATGTACTAAATATTAATTTAGTTAAGTATACTGAACTGAATAAAAAGACCTAGTTGATACCCCCCCACAAAAAAGCATAATATTTAATCACTTTACGCGTGTGGAATACTCACACAAATTAGTGTTAAATTGTATGATATGCAGAAAAAGACAACAAAACACAATTAAAAAAAAAAAGCCATAATAGAATTATGTTTGAAACCAGCCAAAGCTAGATTTTCCTCCGTGTTGGATGACTGACTAGAGAGAACGCATTTTTGCTATTGACTGCTCCACTGTGGATGATGTATGGGGCTGTGTTGTGAGCACACAGCATTAAATTTGACAGTTTTTCAACTTAAACATGGGGTTTAAAGACATGAAACACATCGTGCAGACTAGAGGAGTGCTTTTAGTGACGGTGCGTGTTACTCCATAGACATCAATGAAAAGAAGTGCCCTTGACAGTTTAAAAAAGCATTGTCTCAGTGCCCCTTAAGTTTTATGTGCCTTGTACTTTGGTGTTTATTATGTGCTCATTTTATATGCTCTGTAACGATTTGTTTTGCTTGGTGAGAAGTATTGTTTATATTTTTAGACATCAATCTGTCCAGCACCACAAATTAAAGTCAGTCATTTGGATAAATCCGGCACATTTTCATCATGACGTATTTGATGTGGATTAAGGGGTGTTTACACTATCGCAGCAAATGTGCAGTGTGTGCCACCCTCTTCAGCGGCAAAGTTTACTACTCCAGAACACTAGAGGGCACAACAAATAAAAGTCAGAAAGGTTAACCTAAACTCCATCAATCTCAGGTATTAAACCACAGAGCGTATTGCATTATAAAACAGATTTCATGTAATTTATTGTTAAGCTACTGCTAAAACTTTGCTCTGAACACAGCCTATTCCTTAGTATGTAAGATAATTGTAATAATCTCGCTATTACAATACTACTTCCAATCAGACCTGGTATCCTCATTCGCAAGATTTTGATAAGTTTTTTCATTTTGGTCTCTGTTTTTTATAATTTTTTTATTTTTCCCTATTTTGCTTGGCAAGGTCAAAGCAAGACAGAGTCAAAATTCAACAAATTTTAACTTTTGCCACAATGCAAAAAACATGACTGCATTCGAAGTGAATGGGTGAGACACATGCAAAACCTTTTTGCTATGATAATGTGTACACACCTATAGTGAACTGTAACTGTTAAATAAATGTACATATTTACTTCAAAACACGGGGAACATCTGTCCTGTACGTTATAGGTACCTGGGGAAGGAAGGCTGGGCCCCAGCCTCATACCTGAAGAAGCTGAAGGACGATCTGTCCCCAAGGAAGAAGACCCTGACTGGCCCAGTGGAGATCATTGGCAACATAATGGAGATCAGTAACCTGCTCAACAAGAAAGCTGTCAGTGAGAAGGACGTGCAGACAGACGGAGAGCCCACCACGCCAGAGCGCCACATCTCCAAGAGCGAGATCAGTCTTCCCATCCCATGTAACGCTGAAGCAGACCAGGCCATGACATCCAGCACTGCTGCAGCAATAGGCTCAGGGTGTGGACCAAGCACCATTCTACAGGACAGTAAGCCAAAGGCAGAGCCAGGGTCACCTGCCATAGCAAGAGTGGCTCCGCATCGGGTGGAAATTGGTAAGAACAGACAGTTTTACATATATCTACATTACATTTAAAGAAGGTCTGCTGTAAAGCTTGTATGTTGTGAGGTTCAACAACATTTTTTTCACCTATTTTTAGTTTGACTTATGAACAGAGACTTGAACATAGCCTTTTTGGAGATGATCCCTTTGAACTGTGCTAGAGTGTAAATTTATGCTTCTGTTGTCTTTTAAATAGGCTTTGAAGTCATAGGTAAGCAAGTCTTTTTGTGGGTGTAGGATTGACAACTTAAAACATTTGTGAATTAATACTGTGTTTTTCAGACTGTGCTTTGTCTTTATGAAAGTAATCACAAGGCTTGGTGATGATTGTTGTCATTCATGTCACCTGCATCTGCCTTTGTACTGAAAAATATTTGCTTTGTTTATATCATTCAAATGCCATCTAAAGTTTGTACATGCTTGATGATCACAGTGTGCAGTGTTTACTAATTATGTCTTTGTTGTGTCCACAGATATCAGACACTTAATAAAGATTTTTTTCCTTCATTTTGCAGGATCTCCAAATCTCAGACAGAAACCTCCCCCTCGAAGAGAGACAAATCTCGTAAGTTATATGAAAAAATAACAGGAGAGCTATATTTCATCATCTCCAAATGTACGTCTGTGTGTTACTATAGCCATGTTTTCTTACATCTTCAGGGATTCCAGTTGCCAAAGCCTCCAGAGCCCCCTACTGTGGAAGCGGAGTACTACACCATCGCAGAGTTTCAGTCCTGCATCTCAGATGGCATCAGCTTCCGTGGAGGACAAAAGGCTGATGTAAGACCTGTTAATGTGGAAAATGTGGGATAATTAATGTGTGGCACACAAAGATACAAACTCTGTGTAGAAGCAAAAAAAGAGCCTTATTTGTAGGATTTACTAGTAGGACTCAAGCCCTCATAAGCAGGACTAAAGCCTGACACATGAATGGGCATATTTTTGCCTGAAAATTAATTGATGTGACATTCCTGAGGCTTATCTTAATCATTTTCTGCTGACCCATGTAATTAACAGTTCACATTCTCAGAGAGTACATACATTTCATAAGGGAAATATATGTAGTTTTACCATATATCATTTGTGATGTTACCTACAGGTAATAGAGAAGAACTCTAACGGCTGGTGGTACGTCCAGATTGGGGACACGGAGGGTTGGGCACCTTGTTCCTATATTGACAAGCGCAAGAAGCCAAATCTGAGCAGGAGATCTAGCACACTCACCCGGCCAAAAGTTCCTCCCCCAGCACCTCCTGTCAAAAAGCAAGACTCTGAGGAAACACCCTTTGCAAGTGGTTGCACATCCAAAGCTCCAGAATCCCCCAGCAGGCCTGTTTATGAGGAGCCTGAATATGACATTCCTGCCATTGGCTGTGACTTAGACTTGGACACAAGTATTAAGAAGGACACAAGTATAAAGAAAGATACAAGTATAAAAAAGGACACAATTATAAAAAAAGACACAATTATAAAAAAGGAACCACGTCCTGTGCAGATTAAAAGCAGTAAAGCTGCTGCTGAAAGGATCGCTCAGGCTACAGGCAAAGCCTCACCTCTTTTACTTGTGAAGAGCTCCCCTTTCAGGAATGAAGACTCACTAGAAAATGCCACCAAAGAGGAGGCTATTTATGAGAATGATGGATTTAGATTCTCATCTGACGACTTTGCCTCTACTAGAGAATCCAGTGGTGGTGATTCAGACTCCCCACGGAGCCGCACCTTGGGCCGCAAGCCCCTGGGGTCTTCTACTGGGGGAGGAAAGTCACTCAGGGACACTCCGGATCTGTACAGGAGTCATTCACTGAACCGTCCTGAGAAGAACAGCCCTAGGTCATCTTCGGATGAATCAGGTCGCAATCCCAAAAGAGAGCCGGTCATGCGCAAGGATGTAGAAATCCAGATCGGTCAAAGTCCCTCAACCCGACCCAAACCAGTTGTCCGGCCCAAGCCCCTTCTGAGTAAGTCCGAACCACAGAGCCCAGAAAGGATGGACATCAGTAGCTTGCGGCGGCAGTTGCGTCCCACAGGTGCAATTCGGCACGGAGTAGTCCGTGCAGCACGTGGCGGAGAAGACTCAGAGACAGCCTCAGTTGTGTCATCAGAGGACTCAGTCTCTTCTCGAAGCAACTCAGACCTCTCCAGCATATACTCTAAGGGCAGCAGGGGTGACTCTGATTTTGAGGGTTCTTTGTACCGTACCATGGATGCCTATGAACGGGCACAGGACTCTGAGCTCAGCTTCCCTGCCGGAGTGGAGGTGGAGGTACTGGAGAAGCAGGAGAGTGGCTGGTGGTATGTGCGCTGGGGTGTAGAAGAGGGTTGGGCACCTGCGTTTTACCTGGAACCTGTTAGGCAACCTTCTGATGTAGGTGTCCCAGAGTCTCTTGATGGGCATCTGGCAGAGCTAAGCAATGCCAGCAAGTCTAATAGCCTGGAGAAAAATGAGCAGCGTGTGCAGGCCCTTAACAACCTCAACCAGCAGAATGTACGTAGACTGAATAATCCCAGCCCACCTATCCCCTCTAAGCCACCTGGGGGCTTTAGTAAACCATCTACTCAGCTCAACGGGTCAGGTGTACGAATGCGGAATGGCATTCGTCAGGCAGCAGTGCGACCACAGTCAGTTTTTGTGTCTCCTCCACAGCCAGTGAAGGATACTAATCTATATACAGGGTCCTTGAGGCGTAATGAATCTCTGGGTGCCAGTGATCACATGAGGTCTAGTGGCGGCGTGCGCCGAAACTCCTCCTTCACTGCTGTGCGGCCCCAGCCGGTAACGGATGTGCGCTTGAGGTCTGGAACCACCACAGCTGCACCGGCTGGAAGTTCTAGCCCCTTGATTGCCCATAGAAATGGTATCCCTGTGTCTACCGTGAAGCCTAAACCCATTGATAAGTCGAATCTCATTCACAACAACCTGCGGGAAATCTATGTATCGATTGCTGATTACCGTGGAGATGAGGAAACAATGGGCTTCCCTGAAGGCACCAGTCTGGAGGTTCTAGAAAAGAACCCTAATGGATGGTGGTACTGTCAGGTTCTAGATGGCCTACAAGGACGAAAAGGCTGGGTACCATCCAACTACCTGGAAAGGAAGAAATAGCGCCCCCCACTCCCCCTGCCCTGCAAAGAATGTCACTTAAATGTTTCCTTATATGTACATTTGTTATCAAACTCTATGAGGAGGACCTTTTTTGTACCAATATGAGACACTTTAGTGCTGGTTTACTAAAAAAGTACAAAAGACTCTAAAGACGATCAGTGATGTGGGTGTGGAGAACGCTACTAAGAATATGTCATTGGGCAAAATCAGGGGTTGGCCATCCCAGTGTCTTAAGTATGACTGGAGGATACTATCTCCACTTTGAAACAAGAAGAACATACTCTAGCCTTTCAGAAAGGGTTTTACATGAATAAGGAAATGATCCGGGCAAACGTTGACAGAAATTCCAGCCCGAAATTTTATGCCAAATGGGTGCCTTTGTCCATCGTTGACTGAATGTTAATAGGAATCATTTGAACACCAGTAAATCAGTATCAGTAACCAAAATTTAATTCAGTGCCATAGGCCTATGAGCGCAGAATTCACCAAAATTATTTTGCTACAGTATTACAGAGAGAGAGAAAGCGAGAGAGAGAGAAACTATTTCAACATAGGAGTAAATAGGAGTAACACAGAAAATTAAACCTTTAAGCACTCAGTAACAAGAATGTACGACATCGGATACGCAAATAACAAATCGAGTGCAGTTAAAGATTCAAAACTTTTTTTAAACTTCTACGTTTTTTTTTTTGTTTGTTTGTTTTGTATCTTGTGCGTTTTCATGTCTTCCTTAGAGATGTATTTCTGCTTTCTTGTGACATCCGTGCAACTCTTTATCGGCCTGGAAAAGGAAGTCCCTCATTGAGACGCTTCCTGTCATGTGATCTCTTGTTTGTTCTGAAGTGTCTCTGAAGAGGGTCTTGTAATTGGCTTTACTTTTTATGCTCTCCACTTTCTTTTGCCCCCGACAAAGCCCAACCAACATGAATAAAGAATCACTGATTCATTAAAGGATACGATGTGGTGCGATTATGTGTAGTTCACAACTGACAGAGAATTGGATACTATAGTTTTGTTGGATTTCAGTGCTTTTTTACCCACCTCATATCTGGGTGTCTAGCCCAAGCAAGGTTTAGTTTACAAAGTGCAAACAAGTCCTGTTTTTTCTGTTGCAGAGAAACAGGACTTTGTATATACTGCTGCTCTAGATGTGCTATATTTACTGCTCTTGAAGTGGTATTTTGGAAAATTCAGTACTGGAAAACATGGCATAGTATTCGCCAATCAATCCCAGGGAATTAGTTACATAGCAATGAGCCCAAAATGTGATCAAACCAAAGCAGAATGCCAATACATTTGCTAGTTTGTTTTGTTTTAGTTTAGTATTTATTTTGTGGGTACAAAGAAATACGGTGTATTCAGCAAACCCAAACGAGGTTTCAGAACTGAGCAAAATAGATATTTAATTACTATATCTGGAAGCACTTGATTTTGTTTTTTTTTTGCTACCCAAAGAAAAGCACATTGATATGCAAAGTTAATTTCAACATATTACGATATTGCTGGGCAGTATTGAATTCAAAGTTGAAGTTAAACAGTAGGCAGTTTAATTTTAGCAATTTTAGGTTATTTGGGTAAAAAATAATGAACATAGAATTGCCCATTGTAGTATGTAAAGGTTGTAGTTTACGTACAGCAAGCAGTTATCTTGAAAAATGTTTACTGTTTCCAGATTTCATAATTGGAATATTTAGTCACATTTCCTTAATACACCCTCTTTGACAGTCCCAAATAAAAAAAGAAATCATGGAGATGATCCATGTCAAAAGGCTGATGTTCAAGACTGCTGAAATATTTTTCTAATGAACAGTGCAGTGTGAACTCTTAGTCGGGTTAAGCACTAACGTTTTTTTTGTTTGTTTTGTTTTTCTGCTGGACAGTATTATAGTATTAAACAAATTTAAGTACCTGCTAGATTGCAGTTATATTCTATTAAGCAGTAGTAGATTTTTGTTTTTGTTTCTATTCTTGTTGTTGTGTGATCGCACATGGACAATAATGATGAATGAAGTGGTTCATTTGTTGTGAGTTGATGCATTTGCGTTTTCTTGTAAAGCAAAAATGCATCGATTTAAAGATGCAGTGTACTTCATCAGCACGTTATTTATTGAACAGAAATTGTTCGTATTTATAATTATTTAATTTTTTTTTTTTAAAAAAAAACATAATCATTACCTCTGTTCATTTTTTCCTCAGTGCTCGCCACTGTCAGTCATGCAGTGATGTCTGCACTGGAGCATCTCAGTAAGAAGCTCCTCCGTGGTGCCCTCTAGTGACACAGATTGGCTACTGTTATATTCTGGACTTTATTTTTGTATACTGATGATTTGATGCCAACCCGACATTTTCAGTTAAAGAGCATGTAGAAACTAAATGTTTTTGAACACAAATGCAGCTAACCATTTAGTTTTATGGAATTTGCTTTCATGTGACCATTTTTTCCCCATTTTCTTGTTTTTCGCCCAAGGCTGATTGCTGCACCTTTAGCAACTATGGACACTTCCTCTCTCGTTATTGAACCTTCTATAATGCCAGATTTTGTTTTATCTTGATTCCCTCACTCCATCTTGGTTACTAGACAATCAATGTTACAATCTGCAGAAAAAAAAAAATTTCGCTGACAACTTTGAAGATAATGCATCACATTGGATCAAACTTAACCAAGAAAAACAAATTTGAAATTTACAAAAATTTACAAAGTTTTGCATATTTTTAACTCTTCTGGATTGATGATGATTATTTTGGTAAATTTTAGTCCTCCGTCTGTTACCAGCCCTTTGACGAAGGCGTTATAGAAATGTGTCGACTCACTCCAACACTTTTCAATGGATATTGCTTTTGTCAAGTAACTTCCATTTACATTTTAAGCTTCATTTTTGTTCGCATCTTCAATTTACAAGGGAAATATTACTTGTCACGCTAGGCCTTTTTTTTCCATATTATGTACTTGTGTATCATCTAGCCTTTATGTTCTGTCTTTTCCTTTTTTTAATGTGTTTTTGTCAGCAAAAATATTGCAATGTATTATTTCCTTTATCCCGGTGTGCGTTAACGTGACGCAAAATTCTATGAGGAAATGTGCAATAGAATATTAGGGATCTCACCAAATACAAGGAACTGCAAAGTCGTAAGGGTTAAGAGTTTTTTGATCCTTCCTTTTTCAAATCAAGTCAAAATTTGTATGGTTTCATGCACAGCCACCATGAAAAGCTTTTAGCTTTTGTTTATTTCATGTTTTGATATTTTTGTTTGTTTTCGTATTGTTTATGCTGAATGTCACGATCCTCTTGGACACTGGTCCCTACGCACACGCGCACATGCAGACATACCGTTCGCCCACAGATCTGTTACTTTCTCCCCAGGACTCTGAACTAAACTGCTGGGATGCCACCATGGCAACAGTCAAGTATGACCACATCTAACGCTCTTCGACATTCTGTAATAAGGCCGTTAGGATTTTTCTTTTCCTTCTGTGCCAGTGGGGTAAAACCAAGTGAAACGTTGGACTGCTCCTCCTCCACACTGCCAAAGGTCTGATATTTCACTCCTTCTGACTAATACCCCATTTCCATTTTCACAAGCTTCCATAGCTTACATTTGTCGTTGAAGGCTTAGCATCTTCAACCAGCCTTTAAAATTGAACATGGCCTCAGAATTGCTTCTCTCCACCTGTTTGCATTGTTCATTTCTGTGTCACATCACTTTTAAAAGCATTTTCTCGCCATCGCAAAACCTTGTATCTCAGATTTTGGATAAAGTTTTCTTTATCCAAGAAGGAAAAAAAACTGAAAGGAAAATTCCTATTCCATTCTAGTCCATTCGTCACAAAATGTGCAACAGGTGTTACAAAATATAAACAAAAAATGTTTTTCTTCTGACAGCGATGATTTGTTAACACCTTTTATCTTTTGGGCCTGTTCACACCTGGTATAAACATCCATCTTCAGTGATCTGATCATAAGTGGACACTCAGCACTTCCATGTGTTTCCAGGGACCACCTATTGTTTCAGGACTGAAGGAAATGCCCATATTTACTACATCAGTCTCTTGCTACATTTGTTGTCAGACAAAAATGTTCTCCAAGTCCTTGATTTTGTCCAGTCTGTTATAAACAGCCTGCCTGCACTTAAATCACATGGACTGCTAATGCAACCTCTAAACAAACAGGAGAGAAAATGAAGCAAGAACTTGTGCAGCTCATTTGGTCTCTGCTGTGATGAGGCAGTCAGTTAGTTGGTCTTTCATTGCTGTCGAGGACACAGTGTCCTTTAGCACATTATATTGCCATATGTCTCTCCAAACATCTTTGAAGGTGGTTTGAGTGATCGGATAACAATACATCTCCTTACCGCTATTCACTTACGATCAGATGACACAGGATGTATGGTAATGCCAGTTGTAAATGGGGCCTTGGCCTCGAAATGCACTAAGCCTGCTCTCAATCTCTGTCCTGCTCTTCTCGTTTGAATGGGAGCCCTTGAATAGGCCTACATGAGTATATGTCAGTTAGGGACATGGAGAATCCCACTCTTTCACATTCAGATCTTTTTTTTTTTTTAAGTACCCTTGGTTTTGAAGTGAAAAAGATTTTCACTGAGAAGTGTTTCTATCTTTCAGATGTTCTCATTCTTGCAAGGGAAGCCACTCATGACAGCGTTGAGCCTTGCCTATTTGAAAAGTCAGCCAAGTGAAACAGAACTGATGCAGCAGTGCTATCTGCGGTCACTCGTTGTCCCGCAGATTCTTTCTCTCTCACTTGCTCATATGCTCTTTTCCTCTCTTGTTCTTCATTGGAACAAATTGACTGTCTTTGAGGCATGGCTCAAAGTAAGCTTAGTAATCTTGTGCAGAAGCTCAGAATAGTTTCCTACTGCAGGCTATACTTTTCTTTTCTCCTTTCTCTACTTTTTACTGCTGACCTCTTAACTGTTTTTTTTTTTTCTTGCCAAGTCCAACTGTGGATGGCTTCATATTCTGGCCTATTCCTCTGGCATGTTCCTCAACTTTACCTGAGATAGAAATTCCAGCTCGCTAGCCACTCTTACAAGAAGCTGAGTGTTTTCTTTTTCTTTCGTCCATTCTGTGCCTCAGGCGGGACGCTGTATTGCGTTGAGATTTGAGATCAGATTCCTTGTTGCTGATCTAATACGTGTGGAAAAATGCAATTTTACAGCACCAGTTTTAGAAAGAGGGGGATAGATAGTGAGGGCAACCAGTCAGGGACTGTAAGAGTGAGTGAATGCATGTGTGGCTGTGTGAGTGTGTGGAGAGGTGGTTCGCGTGTCGTAAGGATCATAAGAAGGTGGCGAGAGAAAGTTGATAGACGGATTGTATGGTAGTCATGCGTGGAGTGCGTTGGGACTCAGTCAGGTAACACTAGATCGAGCTGGACAGCTATAATGGACTTGTTCAAGTGCATTTGCCTGAAGCCTAGCCCCGAAGACAGGAGATCTGACAGGTGTCAAAGGAAAACCGCAGGAAGGAGATGGAAGGCCAGGCCTCTTTGATAATTAGTGCTCCGTTAAAGCTCTCGGTGCGAATTGGTTATAGTTGAACAGAGTAGTATGAACTTGATGACAGCTCATCTGTGCCTTTAGCTGAAGCTCCACATAAAGCCTTGCCTCGGGCCAGCGTTTCTGAAAACAAACTGCTTACCGCTCGTCCTTTGGTAGATCATAATGTCTGGCACTGGGGGACTCTTGGTATTCCACTCTGCTCCCTTCATTAAGACGAAGAAGTTCGGAGCACTGCAGGCATGGCGGGCTACTGTGAAATCACATTAGCAAAACCAGTCAATTAATTACAGCTCTTTGGGGGTTTGCATCCTGAATTTAAATGACTAACTGCAAAACTTAATCCTGTGGAGGCCTATGGACACAAACTGTGGACAGACTGATTCTGTGTCAGGCTTGTTAGTGAGGGCAAATGCTGTGTCATCTGCAATGTGTAGCCATGTTGTTCACACCGGCGTGATCTTGTCTTAAATCAGCATTGTCCATTTGCAGACTAGCAGCAGTTCTAGACCTGTAGTTTCAGGGTATGATGTGGTTTTAGGCTTAGGGTTGTTTATAGTGTTATTTGGACTACATGATGTAGGTAAAATCACATGTTTCTAAGCCAATTTATGATTAACTATTATTCATTTGGCTTGTAAATTATGGTCAGAAACACAAAATAACAGAATTGAACTTGAATGTGTCAATTCATATAATGAACAAGTTGAACAGGCTGCTAAAAAAAAAAGTTATAGCCTACTAGCTATTAAAGATACAACCATATATAAAATGCATTATTTGATTAGCTACAATACAGAGGTGTCTCGTTTTGATATATTTGATACTGAAAATGTTTTATGTTAATTTTTTCCATGTTTAATATACTTAGAGCTTTAAAAATTACAGGACAGTATTTGAAACAGAAAACCTTTATAGTGTCCTGATCTAGTGACGATACAAAAGATATGATACAATATTATTTGTTGAGTCCTACTAGCTACACACACTTAAAAAAGATGGTTCTTCAACATTCTTTAGGAAAGGCAACGGTTCTATTTAGAAACATGACTTCTATATAGAAGCATTTCATGCTAAAATGGTTCATTGCTTGATGAAATGGCCCTTCAGACTGATGGAGAATGTGTTGTATATCGTTCTATACAGACCCTTTTTGAAAATGGTTCTATATAGCACCAAAAAGGGTTCTGCTATTGTCATAATGTGGAGCTTGTAATGATAAAAGAACCCTTTTTGGCGCTATGTAGATCCATTTTTAAAAAGATTGTATATAGAACCACATCCAACACATTCTCTATTAATCTGAACAACCATTTCACCATGAAAAGAACCATTCTATATAGAACTTATGGTTCTAAACAGAACCATTGTCTTGACTAAACAACCCTTGAAGCATCATTGTTTTTAAATTGTGTAGCTACTTAGCTGTTGTGCTAACACAACACAAGCTACCTAACTGTTACCTGTTACCTACCGTTAGCCTAAAGCGAGTCTAAAACCAAATCGTTCCCTTACTCTGCAAGTCTAGAACTTCCTCTGGTTCTTCAGATATGAAGTTTACCTGGCTTGAGTGTTTGCCGAGGAGGTGAAGTAGAGAAAGCTAGCCGTACGTGTGCTCTGGTGAGACGCATGAAGTGTTTTTCTGAGGAATTATGGCAGGTTTTTAGTTGTTTGGTTGTATTTAGAGCGAGGAGGAGTGGGGAAGATGTGATGGAGCTGGGTGTGAAGGCTACAGGGTGCTAGCGGGCTGCTGCTGTGATTTTTCTGCTCTCCTTCATGAACACGCTGGGCCTCGCTAATGTCTCGCCGTTTGCTCGCTCTGTCGCTGCTTGACTCTCTGCTCTAATTACCGATTCTCTCGTATTAATTAACAGCCACTGCAGTATAACGGCTCCCTTGAAAGGCGCCGACCGCTGGGTGGTACGTCAAGTGCCACAATGGCGGCTGTAAACACGCCATTGAAAGCTGGATTTGTGAATCAGCCTCTCTAACGGTCGCCTCCCTCGCTTGTGTCCCCTCTCAACTGGCGTTTTTTGAGAACTGAAAAAGCTCCATTATGCCTTCTTCTTTCACAAACGTCAAAACAAGACCATTGAACAGACTTCTAGACGTGCTAGGCCTAGTCAGGGGCTTTCAGTTTGGACTCGATAAGGTTTTCACCCGTCAAGTTTCTAGGCCTAAAGAAACTTACCTTGGAAATCCAGAATATTAAAAAAAAAAATGCATTAGTCGAAATGACAGTGGTGCTAAAGCTCTTTTTACTCTGCTACTCAAATGCAAATCATGTTCTGCTTCCTCATGATGCGATCACGAATGCTTGGTTTGCCAACTCCTCTTTTCAAAGATATACATAAACACGGCCGTTGGGTTTTTATTGAAGCTTTTCAGTACAGCTGTCAAGGAGGACGTTACCATTTAAGTTTGGAAATTTGTGAAAATGCTTTGCATCGAAACCATCCTTTGCAGAGCCCCAGAGCACAAAACATATCTACAAAATAAAATCCAATTTTTTTATGTATTTCTTTTGAAACCAGGTGGTCTACAGCTTTATCTTTTTCGTTTTCAGTGTTGATTTGTTCTTTGTTTTTATCCTTTTTTTGTATCTTGTTCATGTTTACATTGTATCTTGCATTGCCCTAAAAGAAAAACAATAAAATGTATCGTTCTTGTTCTTTCATCTCAGTCATGCATTTATCTACATTTCAGCGCACCAGGCTCACACAATCAGTGCACATACAAATGAAAACAGTTAAAGTCTGACTGGATCCCGTGTCTTTATCTATAAAGTATGGCAGCCAAAATATAGATGTATGTATTTAGTGCTGTGGATAAATTGTGCAGGACAAGAAGCGTAGAAATGCAGAGCTGATGGAGACGAATGTTCAGCTTGCTGTAGAAGAGATGAAGGAATGTAGGAGGACTGTGGCAGCCGAAGTCCTCTGAATGATTTATTAGCTGTAGGTTTTCTTGCTGGAGACAGCAGCTTGTCACAGAGTTTTTAGAAGCTTCATGTTTACAAAGGAGAAATGCTGTTATATTTATTTTGTTTTATATTTGCATGGTTTTCAGTGTGCAGTGTATGGTAGTAATTATGCATCAGCAGAAATAATTTCCATCTAGTTACAACCAGAACATGCACTGGGTGTGGACAGCCAGCTGTAGAATAAGTATATCTACTCTACACTAGGGGGCAGTGCAGCCTTGACAATCTGGCAGCAGTGCCTTGACAGGATGGGAATGGAGTTTAATCCTAGCAGGCATGTCGGAGGCATGTACCCCCTTACACATAAAGACGGGGGCCGGTGAAGCTTTTCTCCAAACCAGAGCTCATTTATTAAAACATCAAAGACATATCTGAAAAACAGATTGACAGGTTAAGTGCCCTCAGCCTTAATGGGGTCCACCCTTCGGTCATATATCACTGACTGCAGTTACATTTAGTGTTTAACCACTCATTCAGGGCAACTCTCAGAGGCAGAGAGTGTTTTTAGGGAGTGAAAATGATTATGGGTCAGTTCAGAGGGCACCAACTGTATAATTAGTCCTCAGAGCTCACTTGGGTTTATTAAGCTGTTTAGTGATTAAAACTGATCTTACATCAGGGTCACACTGTGACCTGCCTTATTATAGCACACTGCACAGCTTAGTGACAGTTTGCTTCCAGCACAATTTCAGTTATATAGTATTTAAATGAACATAATATAGCAACGTATATAGCCAGGATTATCATGTTATCAGGTCCTTTTTGGAATTAGGTCACCTCAACCATTCAGGGGTGCCTATTAATGAGTTGCAACATTAAAATAATATATTTTCTAAAAACTGTTTATATTCAGTCACAAAAATCCCGTCCTCTTATAATTTCCGGAACAGTTGTAATGAGCACCAAATGAAAGAACAGGAGAGGAACACAATGTATCTGAAACACATTTGGAAAGTTTATTGACACAATCATTTTATGACTCACACTAAACAATGCTTACAAACCAGTCACTGACTGCGAAACTAGCTTCAAAATAAACACGCTGGACATTTCCACGATGGAAAAATGCTTTTCCACACCAACCGCAATTGCTCTAATGGGTGAATCGTTGATGGACTGATTGATTCATTTGCCTCTGCATTGGTAATCATAACCATGTGATTCATCTGTTTGGTCCCATTGTTCACCAATGGGTAGTGAGTGAACACTTACGTGGTGAAATGGACAAATAAAGCTTTTAGTGCTTAAAATAACTGACGAAGTGGTTTTAAATTTCATTATTGACAGTATATCTATAGATCCTTGAATAAATTACCAATGTGCACTCCAAAAAAAATGACCATGTTGCATTGCAATGGTAAAAACAGCTAATATGGCTGCCTAATAACAACAATTCGATCAAAAACGTCCTATAAAAGGAACACTAAAAGGTGATTATCTGTACCATATATTCTAAACAGTCAACACATCATACACTACATAAATAAAGTACATTACAGGGTCGACGACAATCCAGCTGTAGCCAGCTGTAGTGTGGGACTGCATGTCCTTATGTAGCCCTCAGTACAACTAAATAGAGCAAAAAACCTTCTCATTAAACCATCCCTATGTATTTACTGTATGTATGAAAAACTAGACTATACTAGATAGCTCTGCTTTAGACAAATGTAAAATTCAATATTATACAGGGCAAAGGGGACCAGCTCAAAATAAATAATACTATTTCACAGCTAGTTTGTTACATCTATCATAAATTATTTCATTTTGGGACAGGATTATCAGCTTCGTCCATATTGGATTAATAATTTGGTCAGAACATCAACAAAAAGATGTATCTCTAATCCCTGGAATAAGGGGTTTTAGAAATGTACAATCAAAGACTTCATAAAGTGACTTAAATATACAAAGGGGCCTGTAAACACCACAAGCTGTGCACAAGACCTATCAGACGAGAGGGGGAAATAAAAAAAGTGAGTTCCATCAAATATTTGTAAAAACGAGCAATCAGTTTTTAACTTATATGTGACCTGGTTTTTCCCTTTCCATGACTTTTCTTACAGAACTCCTCCAATTTCTTGCCGAGAATTCCACACGTCTATTGCTTAAAGCGTTACGTTTGTAGAAATGACTGCACTGCTAATATTTAAGATAATCAGATCTCAAAAAAGTCACCCACAAGCTCTAAAAGGATTGTTAAAACAGGGCAGGGCACTGAGGAGGAAATTACAAAAGCAACCTGAAACTAAAGGGATTGTACATGATCATATGTCTGTGCTTGTCTTGTACCCAGAAGAAATGCATTAGTGATTGTTTACTGCAAAGCCCCACTTAGATACACTGCACAGTATAGCTCACGGGTACAAGATAGCCTTCCTCTTTTGTTTTTCAAGAACTACACTGCAGTGTAACCCAGAGAGGAGCACAGAACAAAGACAATCATGATTATCAACCAAACCGTAGCGAAACATTAAAGAAACACCTTGGATACTGCTCTTCTAGAAGTTCAGGTTATTACCAATTAACATAAATTAACATTCAAAAGTGAATAACCACTTCAAAGCGACAGCGTACAGCTTAAAAATATAGCGTTGCTGTCATGAACACGACATGTTTTCATTAGAGGAGAAGAATGACGGGGCTTTCCGCCGTTTCGACCTAATTATCACAAAAGAAACGTGAGCTGAATTTTCACTAAAGCCTAGAATACATAAAAAGGACATCCAGCTTTCAAATTTATATACAAAAAAAAGAAAAAACTTGCAGGTTTTCTTGCGACAGCAGCGATAAAGTGTACGAGAGTGACGATGTACAACGCACGTCATTTTTAGCATTGCCTGGAAAAAGCTGGCTAATGCTTTAGCAGCATAGATTTGAGCCCCAGTTGTCACAACTGATTCACACAAGCTTGCTGGCTGCTCAGTGACTGTGTCCTTGATATGCAGCTAAAGTACTGCAATCTTTCATAGTTCAATACGATAAACTAGTGCTGGGGGTATGGATAAAATTCAAAAACATGATATTTTCCAAATGCTTACTCTATGTGCAGAAATATCTTAGGGGGAGTTCAGGTGATGCGAATGAGTAAATGTGCTTCTTTGCATTGTTGTCTATGGACAAACATGCACCGTGACTGAAATTCGGCCTTTTAAACCATGTGTTTACATTAAAAAAACTGCCCTAAAAAAGTGCCATGTGACATCCAGAGCTGACCGGTCAATACCGAGGATGTCGTCTCTCCGGTCATAATTAAAGATCATTTTGACTGTTTCCGAACACTTGGAGCTGTACAACACTTGATACTGAGATTATCACAACCTGAACAAGATGAAAAAGAGTTTTGGACTATATATATTATTATACATGTCAGTGTTAACATGTTTATCAATGGTGTCTGTGTCTTTCATGTTACCTTAAATCTCTGTCTTGTATTTACCTGCTTCTAAATCAAAATCGTGTTTTTAAAGTACGAGACATTTGAAAAGGTGTCGCCCTTTATAAACCTGATGTACCTTGTTTTGACTTTTTTTTGTTTTGTTTTCTTCTATTAAAACTATCAAAGAGAATCTTATAAAGTGAATTTCTACCATCGTAAAATGTATTGAATAGAATGTTAGCATGGCTATAATGCTTTGTCTATCACGTCACTAAAACTAGAAAAATCAATATTGTTGTGTGAAACTACATAGACGATATGTCGCCCACCACTAATTATAACTGCCCAAACACTAAAGCTGAAAAGCACTCATTATGAGCCGCTAATTTTGCAGCTGTCACAGATAAGCTGAACTTCAGTGGTGGAGGAATGAGAGTCTAATAGGCTTTCAGAGTAAATGTAATTGGTTTAGCGTTGTAATGGACACCATACACTCTTTTAATAATATTCAAATGGATGCTGAATGCACCCTTTAATTGAGGAACTCATGATGGACGAATATAAAACTACATTTACTAGCAACAGAGGCTGTATCCTCATGACATCATCAGTCCATCCTGGACTGTTTATGGCTAAAACCACTCAATTTCTGTGTTTTTAAGGCAAAATGACTTGCTGAAATCCATTTTTGGCCTTCGGCGGGAGACCGCAGTCAGCTCCTATTTAAAGACCCAGCAAACGTCAGATTAGTATAACTGACTCTTTCAATATTTGTGACCCTTCCCTGTATTTTTCCGATAGCAGGAAAATAAGCCAGTGTTAATAACTTTCCCTCCTCACAGCAAGTCAAATTTCTTAAGCTTTACGTTTCCCCGCTGCCCTTGAGTAGCTATTATCCTGCAACACGCCACATTTGGCCTTGAATAAGGAGGGTACTCGGAGAAATATGGATTAACTCGGCAAAACAAATGATCCTTTCATTGTTTAAGGCCTCAAGGCTGTGTTCTTTCGCCCAAGATTCTGGTCTCCATGGCAATCGCATGTGCGGTGCACTTCAAGAAGCTGTTTTGAGCACTTGAATGGCAAAACTGACAGAGTTTGCAGTGAATGCAGCTTTGATTACAGTGTTCTGACCTGGGCTAACGTCAGATTACATCTGAAAGATCCATTATGCTGTTTTTCTCTCCGAAGGGGACCATTTGTGTTCCATTTCCTTGCATATGGATCTGTTTAATTAAACCTTGCATTTCTGATCGACTATTCAGCTGCTTGGGGGGCTTTTAGACACTGTGTCAAATTACACATTGCTTTCCAGATTCTGTTCAACTTAGCATTACAGATTTCCAGCATTAGCACAACGCTGACTCCACACGTGACAACTGAGGCTTCAGATTACATTGCTTAACACAACATTGCACCGTCATCAGTCCTTGAAGGTCCTTGCACCAGTTAAACTCAATAGGGCAATACTGACTTCAGAGCATGTAGCAACAGCAAGCTATCCGGAGAAGTAGCTTAAGCACTAGTTCTAACATGAGGCTCTCAGGAGGTTGGGACATACTCTACATACGCATCTTTATCTTTTTACTCAGTCTCAGCTGTACACAGACAAAAATTGTGACCCTGAAACATGTCCTTCAACAGAAAGCATCTTAAGTTTTGAGGACCGACAACAGATTGAAGAGAATCACACTGACCTCCAAATCTGTCATCTATGTTAAATACGGCTTCCAGCTAAAGAGAATTTTGCGCCTAGGCAAGTGGACGAGACTCGCGGAGTCTCATATGGCTCAAATAGGGGGGAAACAAAGAAGGAGACCTTCGAGTTGGACGTCTCCTGAGCATTGTCTGAAGCTTCCTGAATTGTGTGAGATTATTTACATGATTTCTGCTTCCCTTTTCCTTATGTGTGGAAAGCTTTAGTCAGAATCTCAGCCTCCTATCCTGAGTAGCGACACGATCGGTTACCGTAGCAACAAAGGCTCGGGCTCGAAACACCAGAGACCTTTTTGCAGATGGATGCCTGAGCCTTCGAGGTTCAAGGTTCAAAAGTCATCGCCATGGGAACGGAAAACCCATGAAGTATCAGAGAGGAAGTCTCTGAAGAGCGACGCTTCCTTCCCCACGTGCGAGGGTCTCTTTTTGTGTTATGGCCCTTAAGGGACTCTGTGTATTAGTGGGCTCCATCTCCTATGTGCTCCGGTAGGTCTTTATAATGTCTTTAATGGCCCTCCTACAGATCGGGCAGCAGGCGTTGGCCATCTTTTTGAGGCGCAGGCCGCAGGTGTAGCAGAGACACATGTGACCGCAGGCGTAGATGACCGTGTCCACCGCGTTCTCGTAGCAGATGGAGCACTCGTCTGGCCAGGAGCTGGAGGATGAGGGGAAGGTGGGGGATTTGGGGAGGTTGATGGGTGAACTCGGGGTTGTTCCTTTGAAGACAGAAGGGAGGGTGAGAGAACAGGGCAGAGGAAGAAGCGTGAACAAATAAGAAAAGGTCAGAGAGAAAAAGTACATGGCTACATGATTTGAAATTTAAAAACCAAATGAGCAATTTAAACAATGCTCTGCTTTTTGGAATCATTTTTAATTATTTTTTAGATCATACAAGAGAAAGAAAGCTAAATGAAATAAAACATCTACAACAGAGCACCTCATTCCTACCTTTACATTACAGTGAGTATACATAAAATAAGGCTGTCACTACTGATTATATTACTAATCAAGTTACCTATAGATTAATCTGACAACTAATTAATGCCAAACAATAAAAATGGACTTCATAGCATCTGAAAGATACTAAAATACTTATTGTAAATATTGTAAAAATAGGAACAATAAAGCTGTCTGAACAAAACCTTGTATCTCCATTTTTATCATTTTTCAGTTGTTAACATAATTTGAAAATGCCTGTTGCCCTTTACATTGTGTGTAGGTTTCATATATATGACTATATGAAAAAAACAAAAAAAAAAAAAGTACAGAAATTAGAAATGATTTGCATAGTTTAACACCTTCAGTTCACACCTATGAAATCCCATTCATAGGTCACCTTTTTTTTCCTTCTTCTCTGTTTCTGGCTTTAGTATGTTAATATTTTACTCAGTATCTTGTAATAATGACCTATTTTCTCAAAATACTGACTTATTTGCTCAAAATAATGGCTTATTTGCTGGAGATTGATTTTGACCTTTTAAGACATAATTCTGACATAACTAACGTAGTCAAATAATGAGTTATTATTATTATTATTACATGTTAAAACATATAAGCATTTTGGGATAATAAAGCTATTATTTATTAAAGTTATTAAAGTTATTATTTTGGAAAAAATGTCTATGTTGAGATACTAAGTCATTATTTCAACACAGTAACTATTTAAAAAAAAGTCATTATTTCAAAATAGTGAAAGAGAAAGTGTAAAGTTTGAGAAAATAAGTTTCTATTTTGAGATACTAAAAATTGTTTTCAAAATCTGTTTTTTCCTCCTCTTCCTGGGGAGGAATGGTATAACATACACCCCATTTACATAGTTAAGGTTAAATACATATTAGAGGTGGTTTCTTCTATATATGTCAAGAATTCAGCCATTTTCTAGAGTAATGAATTCTTTCTACTCCCACATTTTGCTTAAGATCTTTGATCCAATGTTTAAAATTATGTGGAATTTGTCTTTCTATTTAAGTAGTATCAGTTCACTTATTAACATACAAAGCACTGGGGCTGTGAAGGCTTTATGTCTTATGTAGTGCAATATAAAAGCAGTGCGTGGCCATTTCGGAATACACAGGTAGTCGTGATATATGTTAGATGCATAAATAAATACTAGAAAGAATAAAAATAAATCATAAAACAGTCTATGATCAATAGGCCAAAGCCCTAAAAAACTCACGCTCACCTCCAACTGAGCTGCAGAAAGCCCCAGAGCAGCCTCCGTTCAGTGTGGGCTCTGAGCTGCCACTGCAAAGGCCTCCTCCGGGTGAGTGGGGTGAGGATGAAGGTGAGCCAGGGCTAGAGAGGCCGCGAGGATCACCCAAGTGGGTGGAGCCTGCATCAAAGATGTAAGGATATAATTTTAATGAGGGAGTTAGTCCTCAGGAGAATGTAAAGAAAGAGTGGGAAGGTTTTCTTCCCTCAGTTCTTTTCACTGACATTTCATTGACCTGCCTGTGCAACTGACAGTAATACTGAACAGCACATGTATAAACAGGTACATGTAGGGCTGCAACTAACAGTTATGTTTATAATCGATTAATCTATCTATTTTTGGATGAATCAGATCATTTAATATGCACTCTTTAATTGCTATCTCTTTGTTGTCATTCAAAGTTATGTCTGCTTGACAAACATTTTCTTATTTCATGGTGCAGCAAAATAAAGGAAGTCATATCACCCCTATTCTCAGCCTCAGACACTCCATGTTGGTTCTATTCTGATTGGCTGCAGCAGGTTTTATCTCTTTGATGGGAATCAAACTCTTGCAAATAGTCAGTAGCGACATGCAAGGCAAAATTCCTGGGGTGAGGGGGCTATTATTCATTTAGAGATTTTCACGTCAGTTATTTGTGCTATTATGGAATCGAAAATTCACTCACTTCTACGCTAGCTTACATCGCTGCCACTTTTCTTGAAAAAGAGCTTGTCTGCTTCACCCAATAAAAAGTCTCCACAATCCAAAATAATTTAGAGATATAAAGCCACAGATGGAAGGAACTTTCCAACATGGTAATACATGTATTTTCAAACATAATGCATCGGAAGCAGCATGAGTACAGATGAGGCTGCTCACTGCCATAAAATTCAAACAGCTCTCCTTTACCAGTATTAAATATGCTATCGTAAGTCACAACCAGCTATCAAGCCAGTGATTGATGCTCTACTAACCATTTCAGCAACACGTGCCCCGCCCCCAGCTTGAATGGGCATGATGGGCCCCCCTGAAAACAGTTACTAGCTACTACTGTAAACTGTTTTTGAGCCCTTTGTAGCAATAGTCACTGGATAAAAAAAAGCTTCTGAAATTCATGTCATCGCGTCATTGAAAGATATCCAAGAGTTTTCTTTGAAGCATAAATAGCTTTTAAGTGAGATCTCCTTGCACATTTCCTTTATATCCTCTTGTCTGTTTCCTGCAGGTTTGTTTTTTTATGTAGCTTCATTGTGAAAAGAACTTACTCATTCACATCATGTTAAAACAGTGGTCTGGGGTTGGTTATTTTACGTCAGTGAGGCGTCCCTTTCCTGTTAAAGTAGGTTAAGGAACAAAACACACCAGACACCAGATGATGATGAGGCGATAATCACCCCAACACCTCCAGTACTGTCCTGTAATCTGTCAGAATAACTACATGCATCATATGAACATGATACATAGAAAAGCATTATAGAGCTCCAAGCAAACAGCACTAACAGTAAAAACTCACTGACATTTTGCTTAATTTACACTGTAGATTTTGACACTAATCGTTTCAGCCCTAATGTCAAGTGGTGACTGACTTTTTTTAATGAAGGAAGAACAGTAGCAGTATGACGATTTCAGAGCTAATGTGACTGTTACTCATGCAATTTCACTTCAGTATTTAATTTGGATTCTGATAGAATTCTAGTTATTAATGCATACACTGGAATCTGCTTTGCCCACATAACTCAAGGTACTGTTATGCCAGGGCGGGTCCACTGCAGTTCAAAGTTTTCCTAACTGCATGAATTGAGGCTGGAATCTGAATACAACACCTCTTCAGGGAGGAATGGTATCATTAACACTGCAGTCAGGTGACTGTACAGGGTGGCCGACTCTTTCTGCTATCAAAGCAGCATTTTAACCACTCTGACTGATCAGCACTTCTACACAACTAATGATTATCAGACCACAGATGTTGGTACCTATGGATTAGCATTAAAATTGTTTATGACTATTAATATTGATGTTATTAAAATATACAATAAATATTATAATAAGAATGTATCATCAATATTACAATAATAATATGAAGTAGAAGGTTGGACATATGCATGAGAGGCTCACAAAAAGATCTTGCAGTTTGATCCCCTGAGATTTTTGCTTACTGTAGTTTCTGCCAGTATCAGATATCAAGCAAAGCGAGGTTCCACAAGGATCTATATTAGGTCCAACAAAGGTGTGGCCCAAGAATGCATGTGTATGCTGCATGTGGACAGTCAGGCACATGTCTGCCAACCGCATGTTGTTCCTGCAGCGTGATCCTTTGTTAAGCTAGAGACCACGCTGGGAGTTATGTGGCACAGAGAGTGATCCTCTGTGAAATCCAGCATGCCATCGCAGCGTTCGATCATTCCACACAGATAATTTTAAGATCCCCTCTCAGAGTCAACAGCAGCTGACCCTCGACTGCGCCTGAGACAGGGCCCTACCCACACCATCTCTACCAGATTAACAACAGAGACAGAAAGAGAAAATCAGAGAAATGCAGAGAAAGCACTCCCACACCACAGACCTTTGCTATCGGCATAAACCTTTGCTACGTGTATTATGCAAATTATGTGTCACCATTGCTGCAAGCATAAACTACATAAGCAGGACACAGAACACAACATGTGAGAATATATTCAACAAACAAATCAGTGCATGTCAAATGGTTTTTGATTACAATGCTACCCCAATTAGCCTTTAGAAGCATTCAAATAATATCCAAATGTACTGCTGTAATTATATATTAAATAACATAGCAAGTAACACAGTTTCATTTACATTCAATTTACATTCTGTATCGACAGCTTTGAGTCTGTTCCAAGGTCAAGAAATGACAAAAATGTGGCAGAAAGGTGAAGCATATTCTCTCTTCTGCAAAACTTTGTGCATGATAATAACTTTTCATCAAATGCAAAAGATAATAACGTGTCTCCTACTTACAACCATGAATCTGATACTGATAGAAGGTTTAGAATTTGCACTTCTTATAGAATTTCTCCCTTTATTTCAATGAGCAGTGAGGGATAAAAATGAATATAAAATTACAACACGCTTTCGTTTTCACCTGCAATAACTGCAACATCTAAGCAAAACAGCTTGATGATGTGATCACTTTCAGGTCATTAGCTATTAGTAGTCACTTGTTCAAACTTGAGTATTTATGTGTAAATGAATGCAGCACTGTTAGGACTATTGGAAAAAAGCAAAGACACTGTCCATCTTCTCCAATGTAAAGAAATATTGTATGCTCTGTACAGAGTTTCTTCAGGACAGTGGCTTTCAAATAGAAATACAGACTTTACAGACAGGATTTTGAATGTCTAATTAATGTTTAATACTATAGTTTGCTTAAGAATTACTGCAGACATCCATCAGTGGAGGATGGTGATTGGATCTGATGTCTAATGCTTTGAACCATAATGAAAAACAAATAGGATTTTTATTTTATGATATCACTTCAACCAATTTTAACGTTGTATCTTGCATTAAGCTAGAAAAAGAATGTAATGTTATTAGTTTTGAAAAAAATAAACCTGTTTAAGTGAGTGAACACTAGGACTGCACAAGATATTCTTAAGTTACTGCAACATTTGCTTTTGCAACACTGATATCGCAAACGGTTAGAATATGCAAACCAGTCCTTTAGTAAACCACAAAAAATTCAATGTCTGCTTTAAGCATCCTGCAAAACCTCAGACATTCTGTGTGGGAAGAATGATAAATAATTTTAGCCAATAATGTTGGCCAATATTTAACCTTTTCACATCAAGGTGGTTTTAATATATTAAAAGGCATATTGCAATAGCAGAATGTAGCAATACAGTCACAATGTCCATATTGTGGAGCCCTTGTAACTTTTCCTTTTACCATATATAATCTGTATATTTATTCATAGCTAAAGTCCTGGTACTTTGACAGTATATTATAGCTGAAAGAGGATACACTGTACATACTGCAGAAGAACAGCACCATTGCTCTGTCCACTTTTATGGGCTTTGTGGCACTGCTTTTTGTAACCCCTCAAGGATTTACGATGCATTGTAAGGCAGCACAGTAGAGTGTGCTGTGTATAACATTAGCTAGCCAGATGTAATCTCTGTCTAAAGAATGTGTGCGGAGGAGGAATTTCATTTAATACCACTCAGACAGAGAGATCCTTATTGTTATAGGCCTACATCCTCCTCTCTCTCTCTCTCTCTCTCTCTTTCACACAGTCTCTCTTTCCCTTACTCGCTCTGTACTGCAGGTGGTGATAATATCATATTGAGATGCAGAAGGAGGTGGAGACTTGGCCCACGGGCTCGAATAGATGATGTCGTGTTTAAGAGGCTGTTAAGAACGGATTTGAGCATCGGTAACTCACGTCATGTACTGGCCTTTAGAGTTCATTAAAAAACCAAAACGCTGCCTGATATCGGGTGAGTCAGTCCATGTCCATTTCCACGTACTGTGTGTGTATGTATGTGTGTGTGTAGCAGTTTAATCGTTTATAACTGAAGGGGTAAAATCATTTCTTTTTGATTACTAAAGTTAAAGGTTAGAGTTAGGTCTAGGGTTAGGGTTAGATTTAGAAATGCATTCTGAAAGGATAACTTTATAGGAGAAGGAAAAAAGTTCTTAACTTTAATGTACAAAACTGTGCCAACATCAGAGACCAGATGTCTTTTATTTAATTTCTAGTCAAACTGACATTAGTTATTAATTTTTCACCGTCAGGGGAAAAAAGAAACAACATATTTAACAGAAAATTACCCAGAAGCTTCAACAACCATGCATAATATATAATTGTTTAGTGTGTCCACTTGTTGCCTTTATTACAGCTTCTATTCTTTTAGAACCGACTTGCTTTCGGTTTTTCAAATTAATCTGCAGGGATATTTTTCCAGACCTCCAAAGTTCAGTCTTAGAAGCTGGTTGCATTTTCTGCTGCTTGCAATTTAAATAGTCGCAAGCATATTCAGTGATGTTGAGGTCTGGACTCTGGGGTTGTCAGTCCACTGATCTGAGAACACCAGCAGCCTTTTTGTTTAATTTGCAAACTGTTTAATTTTCTTTTGCTTTTTTCAGTGATGGTTTCTTGACACCTACACATCCTTTCA